TTTGCATGACGATTTCAGGGTCACGGTTGCGTGACGATTTCAGTTTCATGTTTTTAACGGCTTGAGGTTGAGGTTATGTATATACTGATATCATGATGTTGTTATTATTTTCGATGTTTTACATTAGTATGAGTTTCCACGGAGCACAGTGCCATAGTGCTCACTCCCCAGTTTTATCATGTTTTTCAGGTCAGGACGTCGGGCCGGGAGCATGAGCGTGACGTGACGGGGACTTCAGGATATTTATGTTTTGGACTGTATAAATATGATGATGACTTACGCTTCCGCTTATGATATTTTGATGACTTGTGATGATGTTTTTGATGACTTTTGACGTACTCGTTTTGACTAACTTATTTTGATGAACTTTTGAGAAACTTATGTTTTCAGTAACCGGATGGTTTTATTAAAACTAAAACAACGGTTTTCTAAGTTAAGTCATGATTTTTAAAGGTAGCACCACGAATCAGTTTTCGCGAAGTAAAAAGGTTTTATTTTAAATAACTTTGCGAAATTTGCGCTACTCTGATTTTACGATAAGGAGGGGTGTTACAATTGGTATCAGAGCACGTTTCTGCGTCTCTGAAAAGTTTTTCAGACAATAATTTTTCGGAAAAACCTGAACCGTCATGCTCACGCCCCGCCGACGACAGGTAAGTGCTGATTCAGTTTTTCAGTTATAAACATATTACTTTGTCTATGCTCAGAATTAAGGATCAGGACTTTAGTTAAAATGCTCGAATAAGGTTCAGATTTTAGAGTTCGGACATGACTCTAGAATTCAGGGCATTCAGATATGACCCTAGACTTTAGTATCTCTCGATATGACTTTAGAGTTCTTCAGGTTTCACGTCAGTAATTATCGGCCACTTTTAGCTACTCGTCAAGAGATTTGTGTGCCTTAATAATCAGTCAGTAATGTTATCACGTATTCAGTAATGTTAAAACTTTTCTCAATGTTCAGATGCCGCCACGTAGAGAACCCGATCATCAGGCTCCTACTCAGGCTACGGTAGTCGCTCAATTCTGCGACTATCATGCCGAAAAGTTCTCAGGGCAGGGAGATCCCCGCATTGTTGATGAATGGATTCAGGGGTTAGAATTTATGTTTGAGGTTATGGAATGCCCCGATAGGTATCGCGTAGTTTGCGCTCAGCTTCAGCTC